TTTTCTCACAAGGGTTTGTCCCTGGGGCAGACTCTGAGGATCTCCAGAGCTTTAGCCACAAGTCTTAGAGCAGCAGCTTTCAGCCTCATCTATGGAACTCTCGCTCTATGAATATACCAAGCATGAGGGAAGCCCTTTGTGCATGATAATATCTTATCATTTCCACCCGTGTTACCTTGAGTAGGCAGACAGGTTCATGCAAGTGTGACAGGGGAGGTGACCTGGTCTCTTCTCCTGGAGCACTACTGGTGGCATCAAGGATTTGTTAGAGTGCTCAGAGCCAACACTGAACCACTTGAAGCCTCATACTTGAATACTGACCTGTGACCAGGTCACTTCTTTGCCTCATCTCAGCTCCACATTCAATTCATCAACACACACTCTCTACATCACAGAAGAAAACGGGAGCCCTCTCACTTTCTCATGGTAGGTTAAATGTGGATGTTCAGCGAATATATCCTCCTGCCAGCTGGGTTTTCATAGAAGATACACCAGTAATATTTAAAATTAAAGGAGGAATAAAAGCCAACTCTTGAAAATTCTTAGGTCTTAAAATTGAGACGAAAATAATTCAGTTTGAAAGAAAGATTCCCATTTGTTTTGGTGGGCTCTGAATCAGGTTCTTGGAGCTCAAAAGCACAGATGGGAACATGAAACCAGCTACAGAATTTCCATCTTGTTGCATAGCCTGACTTTTCAGCATTTTATTTTGTCCTACTTTGGAAAAAAATTCATAATCTTGAAATACTGAAATGTCTTTGATAATTTAACATTAAACATGAAAATATAGCATAATAGTCTGTCAAAATAAAAGGAAATGAAAAAGACAAAAGTAAATGGGAAAATGCAAGCAAAATAAATTAGTGGATTTTTTTTTTTTTAACTGAAACATTTGCAAACATATCTGTCAACAGTATATTTGGGATGGAAATAGCCCTGCAAGAAATTATTTTGATGGAACTACATTTTTCCAAAGGAAATGTAAAGGTAGCAGTCTTGGCACAGCAACCCTGACTGCCAAAGACACTGCCAAAAAGCCTTTCCTGAATTACAGAGGTTCAGTTCCTCTGCAGGGAGGGGGTAAGGAGGGTTTTATGCCAACTTCTTGTTGATAACACAAGGCCATTAAGAGACTGTTTCAGTGTTTGGTTTAAATTAGAGAAGCCTTTCCTGCACTGTATATGAAGCCAAGGGAGTTTAAAGGTTGGACTTACCAGACAGGATCTGAACCCTTCCGAAAAGCCTTTGCAATCACAGCTATCTGGAACCTGATACTGAACAAAGCACTTGTACTCAAAAGCACCTTCAGCCTAAAGTGGCCATTGAGGAAAAAAAAAAAAACACAAACAAAAAAACCCCACAACCATTGAGGAAAAACTCTCAGCAAAGTCACAGTATCCCCTCTACACCCATTTTCACAAACAGCTTTGTTGGAGGCTTTTTATGCTGCCAGGGACATGGGCTTTGTCAAAATTGAGAGATGCATCAGAGGCTGTCAGAGCACATTGTAATGTCACTAACTGTGACCTTCAAACACAAGCAGGTGGGATTCTGTGTAAGTGAGGTTAGGCTAAAGTGGCCACGAAAGGTCAGGCTTTTTATCTTACACTACTTACATTTTTGAGAGGCGGGTCATACAATGAGCTATAAAACCAGTGAGAGTCCAGCACAGCACTTGGGGAAGTCTAAAATTGACAGGAGAGGTACTCATTTGCAGGTGAAGAAGTAGAACATTGTGAGTGACAAAAGACACAACTCCTTTTGCCAGAGAATGGTTGCAAAGTGGTGCCCTGGTGGCACCTGCAGACCTGCTGCTGCACAGACAGTGCAGAAAGCCTTGAACTATAGCCTGCTCTCACACAGATACATGACAACATCCAAAAATATACCCATTTAATTTCTTACTTGGCTTGGATTGTGCCAGTTGGATGGTGGGTTAATGTTCAGTGTTGTGATTTAAGACTAGAAAGTCAAGTGCACATCTTCAATTACTGGAGCGTCCTTAAAACTGAGAACGATTTGTACAATTAAAAAAAGATTACTAAACATTATTGGGTCAAGTAATTGCTTGATCAAACGACTTTTACAGCAAACTGCACAGAACGTACAATTCACACTTCATTTTCTGGGATAATCACAAAATTAGCAGGAAAGCTGGCCAATTTATCAAAAGTTATTATTATGTTTGATTATGCTTGAGAGCATTATGCTAAATCCAGCTTATGCTCACTTGAATTTTGGTTTCTGAACTGCCACAGGCAGCACTGATGAACGCTATTGCAAGAGTGGCTCTGAGCAAATCTATACCTAAAACTTTTTGAATTAAGAGGATAATTTTTTTTTTACTTAAAGGGAGGAAGTAAAACTAAATGGACACCTAGTGGAAGATTTTTCAGACTGTTGAGGCAGTAGGCTTTTCCAATCTATATTGGAAAGGACTGAACATTCACCAACTTCTTTAACCTCTTTACTAAAACAGAGAAATCTTTCTGGCCATACATTTCCTAGAAATATGTATTTGAGCTGAAACATTCCATGAGTTTTTTTGACCTCGAAGCTATGACCAGCCTTTCTAACATTACAAAGTGAGACTAAGTGCTAAAAAGTATCTAAACTAACCCAGTATAACTTCTTTAATAGTATAGTCAGGAAATACTGGGTGCAGTAGGAATGAAGGAAATCTTAATTTGTTTTTTAATTTTTTTTTTAATATATTGATATACAGAGTTTTTGCCATTGTACAGTGAAATGAAGAAGTGGCACAGGAATAGGGTCAGAATCCTGACCTATTAATTCATGTTTAACACAGAAGAGAACCAATTAAATAAGAATCACGGGAAATGGAGTTTGCCTGTTTAAGTGCAGGGAAGTCACAAAATCTTGGGCTGCCACTCTGAGGTGGAAGGATAAATTGTGCAGAGATGCCAAATACTGGTCCTAAGTTAATTACAGGGGAGGGCAGATGACAGTGGCACAGCTGGAAAAGCACTTTAGAAGTAGCTAAATCTGAGCAGGTACATCTGGGAAGGAGAACAGCAAAATGCCACACAAGTGAATCAAATTAAAATATGTACTGGAGTAATAACTAGGAAAGAAAAGAGCATTGCTTGCCTATGGGATAAGCTACTTCCCAGATAGGAATTCTACCATCAGCATTATGATCTCTGTATCAGCAGATCTTTGGAATGCTGCAGTTAAAACAACTTCATTCATTGCTCAGGACACCCTGTGTTTAGCTGGGGTAATTAGCACACACAAGGGTGAGTATTTAAAAAAAAAATAAAAAATTAAAAAGACAGAAAGGAAAAAAGACAGCAGTGTCAGAGTACTTCAGGTTCACTGTGAGGTAAGTCAACCTTAGGCAGCTGTACAGCACTGATCTTGTAAACTAAAGTGTCTCTCCTTCACAATGTTTTACCTCAGGAAAACAAAGGTGTATTAGTTACCCTGAGGTAAAAGAAAGGAAAAAAACAAACCAAAAATAAAGCTGCTCCAGCCCTAGTGAAGACAAGTAGTCAGTTTAATTTATTGTAAGGTAAGCAGAAAGGCTGTGCCTAGATAAGAACACAGCACTGGCCTCGCAGACTTAGCCAGAGGCAAGCACCTGAAGTGTCACCTTCCCCCTCGGTATTTGTAGTGACACAATCCACATTTGTTAGCTTGCTTTAACAAGCTCATCTGTCTTGAGCAACAAAGGTAAAAACCTTCTTCTATCTTGAGAAGGTTATTAACAGAATCAAACAGCTTCAGAATTCCTGGGAAACTGTTCTGTGCTATTTAAAAAACTGGTTTGTTTTTGCTCACGAATTTCTAAGGGTTTTTGTTTTGCTTTCAGTAACATAAAAGCACCTACTGTCATCTTTTGTTGAAGCTGTTTTACTTTTTCTTTTCCTTCAACGCACACCAATACACCAATTCCCATATCCCACTCCAGATTGGTGCTGAAAATGAAGTTATGTACACAGGATAAAAGTTGTACTTTCCTCTGACATTAAGGATCAGCCCCTTCTTCCCCAGGAGCTTCTGCAAGTGAATGCCCCCAAAGAGTAACAGTCAGCAATTTCAAAACCAGGTCATTTAAATTAAAGGGAAAAATCCAGACTTTATAGATTAAAATGGAGGCAAAGCCATGAAATTCATATTCAATATAACACAAAATCAGGACCAGTCTAGACCTTTTTTGTTACAATTTGCTGATGAAGCAAGAGTAAAACCTTACTTAGGAGAAAGGTCAGCTTCTCAACACCAGCACACAATCTGTCAGGCATCTCCTCTGAAACTGTATAACCTTTTTCTTCCATCCTTTCAGGGGCTTTGTGTTCAAGTAAGAGGACTGTATTAGCAAGTGGGATATGAGGATTATTCCTACTCTAATAGTTGCATACACGGAGACTGGAATGCCTTTTTAACTGAATTGTTCATTGAGTTTGAACTGAAACCACTGGACTGTACCTCCTGTACACATTAGAGAACATTTTTGTGCATTAAGGGTATATATGGCCATATCAAAGGGTAATTCTGATCCTCTGCTAGGGGCTAGAGAATTTATAATTCATAGATTCTCTCTATACAATTTTAAAACTCTCAGACAGTTACAACCTGAGCAGCAGGCATTCAGCACACAGTAGGATCTGTAGAGATGTTAACAAACTGGCCTATCCCTTACCCTTCCAGTTCTATCAGTTCAGAATTAGCTGAACCTCATTTAAAACAGAATATTAATCTACTGGTAATAAAACGTGGGATAAATGCATCACAACCAGAAGTTGTCACAATCCAAGCCAAATTACAGGAGGGGGACGTGGGGAGGGGGTGGGAAACAGCACAGGAATTGACAATATGAGACACGATCATCACATGGAATGCAGTGGTCAAATCCTTGGTGTTTGCAAACAACTTGCATATCTCCACCAAAGCAATCACATGTGTCAAATATTCACAGTGGGTGCCTGCCTCAAAATGCAGCAAACAAATCATTAGTGCAGTTCAACCAGCATAGCCTTCTGCTCCATTATTTGGCATAACCAATTATTTGGGTACCTTTCTTATGGTTCAGACCCCCTTGGCCCTCTGCCTTGACCTTTGACAACCCACTGGTTGTTTTCCATTCTTGTGATTTCACTGACCTGCAAAAGAACACATGAAAGAACTTAAAGGCAGAGAAAAAACAAAATTAATTTATACCCATTTAAAATTACATTAGAATTAACAAGTGACCTTTCATTTCACTCTAATTTTTAATTGAAATTCAATCTATCTGCACTCAGAGGAACATATAGGAGGTGATTTTCAACACTGGCTCAATTTTTTTTCCTAGCTTCCAATGTAATTTGCCTCAGCAGGGACAAAAAAGGAAACAAAACAAAACAAAACAAAGCAAGCCAGGGACCTCTCAAAAATTGTACAGTTTGTGCCAGATAAGAACACTGATAAAATCTCCATTGAAATTGCTGGGGTTGCGAGCTTAAACCTGAGCACCAGCATGTAGCTGCACTGGCCAGTGAGAGCAGCAACAGGTGAGAGGCTCACAAAATCCCTGCCCAAACACACAGCACCATGGTACCATATCAAGAGCTCTTGGTGTTATTGATGCCCAAAACAGAGAGAACTTGTGCTCAAGCATTACCCTGAAGACTGTGGTACGAGGGAGAGCCAGTTTATCCACTGTTTTGCCTCTATCTAATAAAAAGATCTGGAGGTAGACAGCAGGCTGAAGTTACCTCCTTTGTGTTGGGGATTAAACCTACCTAAATAGTCCCAGTTCCAGGAGAGGTACAAAATCAGTTCAAAATAGAAGCCTGGGAGAGTATCTGAGATGGGAAAGAAGATATGCTGGCTCAGGACCCTCAGCATGAATGGCAATGATAACGGATCATAGCCTTGTTCATCTGGATCAGGAGATCTGGGCAATCAAAGACCCAGTTATTAATTGTATCACTTAATGATCTGTATGACTGAAAACATTTTTAGCAATAGCCCACAATCTACCAAATAAAAAGATCCAAAATATCTACTTCAAACCTTACACTAACCTAGCTATTTAAAGATGAACGATTATGATCTTCACCCTTGTGTTCTTTACAAGGCAGTCCTGAAGGTGTCACACAAGTCCAGGGACAAGCAAGTCTCCTGTACTACACTGTCACACATGTTGAGATCAGCTGCACATTTGCTCTCCCCAAGCAGTGGATCAGTGCTGAACCCACCACCTTTGATGCCAGCTGGTCACAAAGTTCTGCAGCACAGAATTGTTACTTGGGAAAAGATGCAGAAATCCCCTGTACACCCAGGAACCTGCTGATGACAAAGCCTTGCCCGCATCCCAGATGTCTGCAGCACTCCCAGGACCCGTTTTCACACGCATACATTTACTTCTTAGTGGACTTAAGCTCATCCTGAATTTAAACTGTCCACAAGCACCATCTGCCCTCACCATGAGCACAGAACTTGTTCCCATCTGGGGTTCCAGCAGCCCACCCCGGGACCTGGAAACAAGCAGGTTGCTGCACAAGCCAACAGATGGCTGTCTTGCATTTCTTTCCATTGACAATCATATTTGCTACAGAGAAACAACTGTCACTGTTCTCTGGAATCTATTTCCCATCAGGATTCTACACAATTTTGCAAAAAGAAGGAATGAGAAATTATCTGAACTGTTCCACCTTGTATATGGAGAAAATTTTAACTATGACACAAGAGCTGCACTGTTTAAATATGTGACTGCTGTACTAAACATTCTTCTTTTTCAGCCTCATCAATTTCTATACCAGATTTTTTCTGCTTTTATTTAAACCTTCATAGTCTATGTATTTTCAGCAGAATTAAAACAATAAATGCACATGGATATAACCATCAACCAGCATAACTACACAAGAGTACCTGGTCTACACTATCTAGGAAATCAGGAAAATAACCCTTTAGAATCTCTAAGTCAGTAGTTATTTACACACCCTAAGGAGACTTGGCTGAATACCACAAAAAAAAAAGTGAATAATTTTGTCATAAGCACTGTCAGCTCATTCAGTTATTATTTGTGGCTTATTATTAACAACTGCATATGTGTATCTGCATGACAAATGTTTTTAGCCCTGAAGATGTTTATGAATCCTAAATACTTCACAAATAGTCAGTGAATAATTATCCATGCTGGAAAGTAATATTGCAAGTCATTATGGGTTAGATCTTTTCAGTGATTTTCTCATTTTAACAGACTAAATTATCTAACCATAGTGTAGAAACAGAAGACTTGCTTAAGCAGACAAATCAAATGCCTGAAAAGAAATAACAGATTCTGAAAGAACTAGTAGCAGGAGATAGTTCCTAAAAAAACCCCAAACCCTTTTTAATAATTGCCTTTTTCTAAGTGGCAAGAGTTAGAAGAATTTTGGAGCAATTAACACATTCATAGAAAACCTGATCAGTTCAGAAATAGGAGAAAAGAAAAAAAAAGATTAATCATTTCCATAGCTCATTGAGAATAATTTTGAACACCTCTAGTCCTTAACAGAGATTTACAATTAATCACCATTGTCATGGTGAAATCCCCTCTACTCTTTAGGATTTAAAATAAATTACTTCATTATGGACAAATTCATTGTTCAAAAGACATAATAAGCACATCTTGAAAGAGTGTATAGTTCAGATTAGTGGACAGAAGAGCTAAAGTTACAGATGTTTGCATGGATACCAATTTTAACTCAATAATATTTTGGATTTGAGGCACATTCTTGAAGCTTCATGGAATTTGCACTCTTTTATATGCAGGAGTCAAAAAAAGGCTGGTTTCTCCTCTTAGGAAAGACAGGAAATGCAACATGAAATGGAGACTTCAGAAATCTGAAGATCTGAAGAGAAATAAGGACAGAGGACAATATGATAGCATTTTGTCATTAAAATGCTCATACTTTTGTCCAGATTAGTCGACCAAGGTTGAAACCCAGTTGGGGGTTGTAATTCCATTTACATAAATTTATTCCTTTTCAGAAAGCAGACTGCCTAGATTAAATCTCTTTTTTTTTTATATAAGCATTTCTGGTGGAAAAGAGCACAAACAATCCACATAGAAAAATAGTTTCAAATTCACTATTCTAGAATAAAACCTGGGATCCTGATAAGAATGTTTATGGCTCAGCCATTAAGAGAACAGAAATGCTATCACATGACTAACATGCCAAATAAATTATTGCCTCCTCTGAACAGATGTCAAAAGGAATTTATAGCTCAAAGTTACTCAGGTAATCATTCTAAACAAATATGCTTGGAAAAACACCGCTTCTAATTTCACAAGAGAAAGGTAAAATAAAACTTAGCAAATGTAATTTCTGCTGTTACTTACTTACCTTAACACCCCATTCCTCGACACGCAGCTGTTTACAAAACCGTGCTAACCAGATGTAAGAGAGTGATGGTGATTAAGAGATATGCAAAAGGTTTATTTTCTGTGATAACAGAAAAAAAATAAACTATCTACAGTTACTTACTCTGGGGAGAATTCACATGGTATCAAACCCTCATCTTGTGTGGAATCTTTCAGCAGAGTCCAATCTCGCCAAATTGCCAAAGGTTATGAGGGTGTTGATCAGCACATTCACATGCTGGTGAACAAGAACAGGCAGAAGACCAGGGATATGACACTGATTACAGTCATGATATTCCTGAGGTCCTTCTTGTTCCATCCACCCTGACACTTCAACCTGCAAAAACGTTTGGAAACAGGAGAGTGAAAAAGGACCTCTCATTTCTTCTGCAAATACAGACAATCTTGCCTTTATTGTGATGCCTGGGTGTATTTTTTTGAAAGCATATAATGCACAGCAGGTTTTTAATCTGGAACAATCAACGGGCAAAATTTTTTGTGTAACGCCAGAAAAAAACCCCAATGGCCAGGTTTTTACTGGAAAAAATACGTAGCCCACATTTATATGGCAGCAGAATCTATTAAAAGGTACTGTATTTGTGAAGTGAAACAACCCCAGGTAAATTGTTTCTGGTCCAGTAGTTGACACAGCTCACAGCCTAAGGGCAAGTTTTATAGTTTACATAAGTCCTTGCACAGTGGGGACTCACCAAACAAACACCACCACAGTCTCAGCTAAGAACCAATCTCTTTTCAGACTCTCAGCAACTCTTCAAACCCGTGGTCTCACTATCTTGCATACAGCAGGCCTCCTTCTTGGAGGACTTCATTTATTTGAACAGATGACTGCATTCCATTGCCAAGATGCCGGGAACTGTCCAGACTGCTGGGTTGTGCTGAACCTGTGGGAGCTCTTCACAGACACTCATCTCCATATGTGGCTGATACAGCGATGGACAGTCTCTCCTCGGGAGCAGGCTGTCACCCACAGAGGAACCATCACAGCCAGGGCTCCTTAACATATGCCAAGGTTACCTTGGCATCTACATGAAACTTAAAAACCCTAGCAGCAAAAATAACTTGTGGCAATAGCTGTGGACAAGTGACATTCAGCAAGTCTTCCCTGTGAGCGCATCGGAGAGGGCACTGCAGAGAGGGGCACTATGGAATGCTGCCAGGACTCCTATCAATACAAGTACTTGTTCATTCCAGTGTTGATGGACATTATCGACAGCTCCTTATAAGCAAGCTGCATTTCATATTTACAGTTAATGCATTTATAATGGAGCTATCAAACTTTTTCTTGTTACTTTAATCTGCTGTCAGATTTAACTTAAACTTGCAATTCTTCCCTGCAGTCTCCACCTCTTCTTTTACCAAATTCCCTGCTGTTTCAGAATATTTTACTTTTTATGTTTCTGAGTTGAAGTTTGTGAGATCTGCTGATCTGGCAAGTGAACAGACCCGCGCTGGATTTCAAGATATGGACAGGACATCTCATGCTACTGCAAAGTCTTTAAGACAGTGCTCCTCACACCTTTAGTGTCAAGCTCTTAAGTTTCTGCAGTTGCTCGTAGTCCTGCCCAAGAATTAGGAAAATTCCTATCAGAAATTTTTTAGAGGTTCTGATATAGGTTCTGAGGATGCTCAGACTGCATACCTCAATCTCCTTGTCAGGATCTTCAGCAGCCCATTGTCACTGGAGCTGACTTAAAAGGCACAAGAAGGACAACTATGCTTTGCCCTCATTTCTGCAGTTATTCCTTAAGCTCGTTTTAGGAGTGCTGATAATATTAAATTGCTATGAACAGACTTTTCTCTTTTTATGCTTGGCTACTTCAGATTCACTGCCAAACCACAGGAATTCCCTTCCTAGATACAGTGTGGTCTTGGAAGATTCTCATGGTCCCCACAATCCAACTGTTCTTCAGAAATACCTAAATGATTGCACTAATATTTGTCTTTTTTTACTATAATGCACAGTATAAGTCTTTTAAAAATATTATTATCTTTCTCCACCCAGTCACTTACTGGAAAATTTATGAATTAAAATTCTCAGTTTTCTGACTGAGATAGGTCCTTAAATCTATGAGGTACTGGTTCATATTCAGCCTAAGAACAGTAAGAGTCAAAATTATCCCCACAGAAACATTGCTCATATTACATGAACTTGCTGAGATAAAATTAAAAAAGTGTTTCCAGAAGGTAGAAACGCCAGGGTCCTCATCACAACTGGCACCCTTTAATCCCTTTTAGAAGAGATCTGATTAAAATTAAATCTAGAAATATCCCCAGCTGGAAGCTGAGACGCACTGCTGGAGAAGCTTACTCACTAAATCAATATAAAATCAGCAGTTTCTTGTCTTGTAATGGTTGACTGTGTACTCTATTTATTCTAAAGTCAGTGATAAAGTACATATTGACTACAATGGAGCAAAGCTGACTGGACTACGGTGCTGCCCTTTAGGAAATACCACTCACAGGTAATAAAACAACAAGGAACTGGGACAAAAAGATCTAGATTCATCCCATAGCTCTTCCTTGTGAGTGAAAGAAAAAGTCATGCCATTCTTCTGTACCAGATCAAAGAAATTTTCCATTCCTTTACTTCTCAGTCTTAAAGGGAGAGAGAACATTTATCCCCATCTCCTGCTATCCTGGACACTATACTTGTAGCAACATAGAATCATAGAATGGTTTGGGTTGGAAGAGACCTCAAAGCTCATCTCGTTCCAATCTCCTTGCCATAAGGCAGGGACAACTCCCACTAGACCAGGTTGCTCCAAGCTCCATGGGGCAGCCACAACCTGTTCCAGTGCCTCACCACCCTCACAGTAAAGAATTTCTTCCTTATATCTAAATTTCCCTAAATTTCTCTCCTTTCAGTTTTAAGCCATTACTCTGTATCCTATCACTACAGCTCCTGGTGGAGTCCCTCTACGCAGCTCCCTTGTAGGGCCTCTTCAGGTATTGAGGAGTGTACACAACCTTCTCTTCTCCAGGCTGAACAGCCCCAAATTTCTCAGCCTGTCAACAGCATAATCATGAAGTGCTGTCATATGCACTGAACCCTGTGTGCACAAGCCTAAAACTGCTGAGACGGATAACAAATAAAGAGTTGTTCGAGCTCACGTTCAGCTATTGGACATGTTGCTCTGGGAGCCACCTTCTCCTGTACAGCTGCACAGAAACCTCCAATTTAAACACCTATAAAGCAGAAGAAGCTGGGGTAAAACTCTGAACACACCAACGTAGTTTTCCAAGAAACCAGGTCTGGTATCTCCCCTCTGCGCTGAGGCACCGATGTTTCCTTTGGCACAGACAGGACATCGCTCATCTCTCTCTCCCCAGGTACAAATGTCTTACAAGTCAATTCCATGGTTAATGCAAGCTGACAAAAGGAGGTTTATGTGCTGTGCAACAATCCCCACTGCCACTCACTGGAGCAGAAGATACTTCAAGGGCAGGTTGCTCCTGTGTGACACAACTACTGCTTCCCAAACAGCACAGATGACTTGCAGCAGTAACGCTGTTTTCTGCTCCAAGTCCCCCAGCTACACCGTTAACTCCCCTCTGGTGGCAGATGTGCAGATTAATCGCCATCTCAGCCTGCAGTGGTGCAGCTAATTTAAACACACACTCTGTGGAGAGTAGAGAGCCTGAAGGAAGTGGGAGGGGAAAGCTGTGGGCTTTGAAGGAAGCACAGCCTGTTAATTTCGGCAAAAACTGAGCAAGAGACAGATAAAACTAAATTAGTGATCTATTAAAAATGAATTAATGACATCTGCAAATGAAACTATATCTAAAATAATCACTCTAATAGCAGGATCTCTGGTGAGCATTAATGCTTAATTTTTTCTTGTATTTGATGAAGGCATCTATTAATTAAAAATATTTATACAAGGTAGGGGTTTGACAAGAATACTCTGTGCAGTTGTTCTTAAGGGAGCTGCTTCTGTTAATCAGCTATTTCAGAAGAAAATACCTCTAGTCTATGCAAAGAAGGTAAGCTTGTACTTCAATAAATCATATTTAAAGCCTGTGATTTCTAAATATCCTCTGTGGCTAGAAGTAGATGAAGTAGGCTGCTTTCTACAGATGATATAATACACTTTCCATTGTTTAGTTAGCTTGTACTGTAAAGAAACCTTCATCTTATCCTCCCCCTCTTTTACCTCCCTTTTATTGTTAACCTTTTATTGAATTGTTGAACATCCAAGTACAAAAGCAGATGATCTGATATGTATGAATGTATTGTACAAATGAGGAGGACAAAGCTAAACACACATTCAATAGCGGGTATGAAAATATTATCAGACATTGAGGCAGAGACAAACCAAGACTGTGTGTCATTAACGAGACTATTCAAAGTAATTTTGATGGAGTTATGATTCTATTGTCATCCAGGACTGAGAAAGAATCACTTACCATTTGAGAAAAGAATTGTTAATCATTATGCAGCTCTCTGGGACACTAACTCTTTCAGGATTTTCTTCTTTGTCTCCCATCCCCTCCTTTTTTTCCATTCTTTTTCCCTTCTCTCATCTTTTCACTGCTGTGAAAAAAGGAGGATTAGAAGTTGTCCTGACACATTTCACTGTAATTTCATTGTTAGTTTTGTCTTTTAGCATTTATTAGTTTGAATTCTGTCTGAGGCACCTGTTGGCTGATGAGAATAAATCAACAGTAAGGTCACAAATGGGTTTGCATTGTACTCTTGCCTTTTTAAGCCTGTTGGGAACTCAGAGCTTTGCTATGCAGGAATAAATGCAGGAGAGAAGGCCAACCACGCTGCTCAACACTATTTCATTGTGTGAACTGTGGAGGTTCCTTGAACAAAGATTAAAATCCTGTTGCTAATTTTGTCATAATTAACTCAGGCCAGCGAGGGCAGGAGGCTCAGTTCATGACACCAGTTAAGTCAGTCATAGTTCAAGTGCTCTACCACAGCTCTTGGGATGTTGCATGGGAAGAAAGGAGCACTGCAAAAGGGCACTTGGAGAAATAAACAGGGAAGGTGATGTATGGATGCAGCTTTCTGAAAGCTCTGATAAAAAGCCTTGCTTGTGCAGTCCATCATGCTTGCTAAGTCAAGGATGGGTGGCATGAGAGCAAGTGATGAATGTGTAAATTGCTAAAAAGTGGATCAGGGGACAGCCTGGGACTCTGACTTAATGATTGCTTTTGGTTATGCTGCTGCTATGATAAAACACTGTGGCCAGCCATGTGGGAACAACAGAGTAACTGCTGCAGGGCCCCTCTCTTTTCCTTCCAGGGGACAGAGCTGAAGTGAACTCTGGAGGAAGGAACAGTTCTTTTAGAGAAAGGGCAATAAAATAAAATGCATTTTAACACATGACTTGATATATATTGTGGCTCACAAGAATGTCCAGCTCCCCACGCCCTTTGCACACTGCAGTGGGCTTTACAAGGAGATCTGTTCCCCAGCAACACTGCCCATTGCTTTAACACTACAGAAGAGAATACAAAATCAATTCCCTCTTTTTGGATAGGGAGGGAAAGAGATGTAACCCTCCCAAATCCAAAAGCCTTTCTCACCTGGCAGTCAACTCCACAGGCACTCACTGCCCCATCCCAAGAAGATGAAAGGAGAATTCAGCGCTGATGAGGCCAGAAAGAGGGAGGAAGGATTACTGTGCTCCATTCCCTGTCCCAAGCCTTGCTCATGCACTTCCATTGAACTAGAAAAGTCCTAGATACTTAGCTAAGTTCTGAATTGCCTAGAAAAAATATTATATTTTCTCTGTTCTTAAAGATATATGTTATGGATACTTCCACAACATTTTACATCCGTGGCCATTTATAGCTCCTTTTTTTTTTTTTTCTTAGTAAAAGATACATTTACACATTCAAGTTTGTATTGTTTCTAATCAGATTGGGTGTTTGATGAAATATCTCTTTTTCTCATACAGTTTTTTTTCACTGATCCCTACAGCTTGGAACTCCAGCCAATGCCAAAGTCAAAGCACAGCCAGAACATCCTTTCATGTGCTAAGTGAAAGCATTAAGAGTTGGAAGTTAAATTCATTCATGGCAAAACTTCCACTGGCTTCAGTGAATGTTGGAGTTCTCCAGGTTATTTCAATATATGAAGAGACAAATGTTATAATGCAATCTATTGTAATTTTCCTTAACTTTAAGGAACATTCAAATGAAAAGGAATTATCAACAACAGGGAAAAAAACCCCCTCCATTTCTAAGGTAGAATAACAGTTTCAAATGTTGGTAAATTAAGTTGTTTTATCCAGAAATACAGTGATTTTCCAATTCCAGTTCCATCTGAATCCAGATTCAGATGCTGTATGTATTGGCATGGTAGAAATACATACTTTGTAGCTTCAAAAAATTATTCCAGTAATAATCAAGTACGAACCCTCAAACTCTTAGCATTTACCCATCTTTAACATACAGCATGAATTGGCCTCTTCCCCAGACACTTCATTCAACAATAAATTCTGATGATACCCAGACACATCGAGCTGCAAAGCAGGATAGACAATAGAAAACCAAAAAGAATCATCAATCTGTCTCTAAGTGTTGATGAACTGGCATTATTAACGCTTTTCTTTTTTCAGTTCCACTGGTGTGCACCATGCTGCACGAGACACGCCGTGCCAGCTCACCACCTCACACGATTTGTCATCTTTCTCACAAAGTTAATGGATCTACATAAATTCACCCCCCAGGTGAGAATGGGACCCAACATTTAGACATGACATTGCTTTGATAAACTTGCAATATAAAGGAGAGGGTGGCATGACAAGCAAAAGCCCCGTTGTGCAGGCAGAAAGGAAGACAACTGTAGTCTGTCAGCACAGGTGAAAGAAGAGGGGCTGAAGAACAGCATAATAGTGATAAGTAGCAGAATTTTATTTCACTACCCTGAGAAGATGTGAGGCTTTTTGCTGGCCATTTTACAATTCTTTCACTTGACTTGTTTACTGATGGAAATGTTTGCCAGGGAACTTTGGAAAAATAGTGACATATGAACAATCTGTTGCGGCATATTGTAGTGGTGGTGTTTGTGCTGCTATAGTTACTAAGCTTTTAGCATTTTTGTAATTTGCCTTGAAAAAGCTGGAACTTGGCATGAAGTTTTTGGGTGCCTCTGTGTTCAAGTCAGATGGTTTTGGTATTTTTTTGTTACATTTCTCTCTGTGAAGAAAAAGCCTGAAGATATGCTGCGTCAAGGAAAAGGAAAAAGTGGGTTCAGCTGAAAAAAGAAGCAGAAGGTGGGAAAAAGAACCAAATGCATTGCAAGATTAGGAGAAACAGGTACAAGCTTCTTTTCAAGGTGAGAAGAATATTTACAGGATGCTCACAGGTCTTATGCAACCGCAAAATTAATCAGGTTATGCAAAAAAGGCCTTGGGGGGTTTTTTTGCTTTCATTTGGTTTCTGATCTGACCTGTAAGGTAGATTTTTATTGCATGGTAAGCCTAGACCAGAAGCTCATGTTCAAGTACTTGAACTGCCTTGTGGCTTTGCTGTGGTGGGACACATTGCTACTAAACCCAAAACATGGCAGAACAAACACAGGAACTGAAGAACAGGGAAAGAGCAAAAATGAAACAAACACCAAATGAAATTGTTGGGGATTAATCAAAAAATAAGGAGAGTTAAACGCCATATAAAAATCAGTCGTGTGGTCAAAATACAGGTGGGGACCTTTCCCATCACTTCCTAGGGCTCTGTGTATGGGTAGCTCTCCACCACTGCTAAATGCATTTGAAATACTAATTTTCTGTCAGAAGAATAAGACTCTGTCCTCCCCCTCCCTGAACCACAGCTCACACAGAAAATCCTGTGCTCCTGCCAGGAGTCATCCTAAACACACAGAAAATCTTACCTGACACATGTTAGATTAATAAGGCATTTAGGCGGTGTTATGGAAGTCTTCATTGCTTGAATGTCGTGTCTTATCACAATTCTGCAACAATTTTCTTGACACTTTGAACTTTCCAGAGGTTCTTCTGAGGGAGAAGGAGGCTGAGAAAGGAGTATTACAGTGCTGTTGATGAATCTGTTAACATCATGCTTATTCTGTGCATCTTGGGGAAGAGAATATATAGAGAATTCTGTTTGCCTTTATCATTTTGCCTTTCATAGTAGTTCAACAAGTGGATGCATAGAGAAGCTCATTACAGCAGCTTTAAAACTGGTCAAAAATAACTGACAAATTATACAGTGTATGTTTAAGCAGCAGAATTGATTACTTAAGGAGAATGTAGCTAGAGTTTGGTGTGATTAAGTGGGATTAGACATGCATATGCATCATGAGGTATAACCTATCACCATTTGTATGGAAAGAGTAATTTTCTTTATTACATTACCTGAAATATATATCCATATCTACACACAAATTATGATGAGATATCAATGCACGTATTAGAAACAATTATGAACCAAAAAAACAATGGCTAGCCCAGACCTCGCTGAAGGTTATTAGAAACAAAATTCCCTTCTGGGAAGTTTATTTCATAATGTATCTTCTAATTTACTCTTCAGGAGCTCACAGCAGCCACAGTTGCATACTGCATATGGCCCTCCAGTACTATCTTGTAACATGACTACTGTGTTTTCTGATATTCTCCCCATCAGTCCCTGTCCTGCTGTCTCATACCATGAAACACAAATTACCCACAAAAATGATAATTCTCTTATTAGTTTTAAAGGTCAAATCAAATGATGTGGAAAATATGCAGTGGTGTGACATATAATTTACATAATTGCCACAAAAACACGGCACTAAGGCTGTGTGAAAAAAAAAAATCAAAAAAAAATGAAGCTTGGCTCTGAGGAAAAGCTGCCAGATTTGCAGTGAGAGAAAGGGGAGGTTGCACCACCAATATAGGAACACCAGCAACCCAATGATTCCCCACCCCATTCAGGTCTGAATTTACCTATTTTCCCCACCCTTTTCTCCCCAAACATACACACACACACTGAGAGTGGGAAAATGAGAGAGGTTTCCCACCAATCCTGGATTTTAAACTGATTTGTTTCTAGATGTGGAATGTAATTTCCAAAGTCTTTACATAAGCACCCTACCCTTGAGTGAGGGGGTGGACACAAAACTGATATTCCGGGTCCTACCTGAGATGCCAAATGGGGCCATGAAGTGGAGCTAATGAGGTGTGAGCAGGGTCAGTGCTGGGAGCCAGGCCCTTGATAAACATGGTTTGCATCCATTAAAGAAAAGCCAAACCCAAAACCACCACACAAAATCTGAGCTGTTTAAAAACAAACTTTGGATTACTTCTAATGCCCTGATTACTAACGCTTGATTACTTAAACTGATTAACAGTACGGCTGGCTTTGACTCAGGATTTTAGAGGCATTTTATACAGGAATCAGACAATACAAAAAACTGGTAATAAGCTTGACATCTGCCCATTTTTCTTACAGTTTAGGGTCATCCCTCTCCTCTGCCTGCCTTATATCAGGCTCTCTGCTTGGCACCTCTGGCAGCTGACAAAATAATGCTTCTTTCCGAGACGACGCCAGCAAGTTGTCCCTCATTGTGTCAATGAAGTATTAACCCCAACTCCATACTTGGTTACTATGACTCATTTTATTAGTATAACCTCTTGTGTTCTTGTATCTTAATTTATGTGCACTGTGTGAATGATGAATACGTTTACTCCGCTTCTTTTTAAAAATTAAATAATGCAAAGACAGCCTTAGTCTACTTTGATTAATTAAGGTTGATCTTACCTTGAAATAATTAAGCTGACAATAGGTGTCTACACATTAGAAAAATGGAGTATGATGTTGAGGAAAAGGTGGCTTATTACATTATGTCTACATTTTGGATTTATAACTCAGTTCATTTCATATCATATATATTTATCATCCAGGTTCTTAATAGAACTTTTTAATCAGCAGAAGAGAGAGAGAGATCGCTTATTCATTTGACATATTACAAATTAATAAAAATGCAATGAATGACCAAATTCAAATGGTCTTTCACACCAGGAACCTTTCTGCTTCTGAAGTGCAAAGCTCTGTTATGAAATAGAAGAGCTGAAATTCTTTTAGCTATCAACGGGCATTCATCTAATTCACTGCATATATTAAAGGAATCCCCACAAGGTATCTATTCAAGGTCAAGTTATTTTACATTTCCATAATATTAAAAAGAGGAAAAAAAAAAGTAATACAATGACACACAGAAAGAGGGCATCAGGTAATTAGGTAGGGAACATTTGTGATCTGGGCATTCAGAAAGCTTTAAATTAATTTTAGAAGTGAGCAATACTGCTTAATTCTTTTTTTTTTTTTTTTTCTGATCAGATTAACATCAGCCTCAAAATACAGCTGAGGTGAATTATACTAATGTCATGATAAAAGCCAGTTTGAAAATGGCTATCACAGACACCACAGGTGGAAAAAAAAAAATCAGACAATACTGATCAATCCCTGCTATATCCTTACACTTCTGATATATTACCAGAAATTCACACATCAGGAAAGAAACATATTTTTATAAAAATAAATGTATAAACCCCAAGAACCACATATTCAAATGTCTAATTTTTACTACTCCATCCCTCCTCAACCTTAGCCTTTTGTTTTACCTGCCTACTTGCTTTACCTTGTCTCTGACAGCAGATTTGAAGGGTGAGAGTTGTCACCCTTGTTTGTACAATCCCCAGCACAACCAGGCCTGCAGATGTTAGAATAATAATAATAAATCACAGCCTGAAGGGACTGCTCAGGCAAGGGAAATATTCCTTGTCATGGAACAGCTGGATCTTAAGTGGTATCTGGGGCAAACTTTCCTGCACTGGCCATGAACACACTGACACAGTTTTGGAGGGCCCATGGTGGGAATGAGGAACTCAGCACTTCAGCTATTATTTTGCACAGTACTGTCGCGATTTAAATATGTCCATTTTCTTGATTTTGAGAAGAATAATACCTATAATTATCAGCTTTCTATTTACAAGCGGTTTCTCAGACGTGGAGGCCAATTTACAGACTTTTACCCACATATAGCAGGTGTAAATTAGTCATGCTTTTTAAAATACATATTATTATACTGAAATGGCATAAAGGACCTTTAGGATGAGTCTTGATCACAGTATCCTTCATTAATTGTGAAAGTTACTGCATCTGTCATGGATCCAGCCCAGCAAAAGAATGGGAGGTGCAGGCAAGAGATTTTCTTCCCATGGCTGGTCCTGGGGGACAGAGCTGCATCCAAGAATTGGCAAGACTGATCCTGTCACCTTACGGCCACTCTTGGGAAGTGTCACACTATTAAGGAGCTGATCCTGGCTTCCATAACCTGATTTTTCCCACTATTAAGGATGTGACAAAGATCAGTAGAAGAGACACATTATAAGGCCAAATAGCGGCCTCTGATTTCTACTGCGACTATGAATGAAGAGACACTTAAAATTTTATTCCCATTGACTGTTTTTCTTCTGTGGTATTCATTATACTGGACATTATACTGGACAGTAGGGTTTCAAGGGCAGAATTTGTGCCAAACAACATAGCTCTAACCCTTGTTAGGGATTATGAAATTCTACTGCAAAAATAAAAATAACATGAACTTCTGGACAACAGAAGAAGAAATTGAAAACTGTGAGGTCCAACTTTAGATTTGTGAATGTAACACATGATACAGGTTCAGAGCATCACAGCAATAACAAATTGCTGAGGGGTCTGTCTGGGCCTTCTCATTCACAGCCCTGCACTGCAGGTAGTTGTGCAAGCCCAGTTGAAAGCAGTACAAATTTCATGATTATTCTCACCTTCTTCTTTGTGTTTTCGAAAGAAATCATTTGGGAAGTTATAAACCAGATAGAGAAGACATTTAAAACAAGTAAAAGTTGTGGGTTCAGACAGTTACATGTCTACCAACTTCAGATAGTTACATTTGTACCAACTCTCAAGATGAGGCAAGATTTATTTTTTCATTTGTAGCTTGGTTCAGTATGGGAGCACACGAACACTGTAATCTGTCTGTCATATAATAGCTCCAGACTGGATTTAGATCAGTGAAAAAGACATTTCTGAGAAATATCAGATGAGAGAACAAACTGAAAGATGGCAACAGACCTACGGAGTAAAATGGGAAGATTATGTACACATCAGCTTATACAGCATTACTGATTGCTGCCCTCAGATCAGAACAAGATTTTACCTGAAAAGCTAATATTGAGCAAAGAGAAAGAAAAAATATTAAAAAGTTGTAAAGTTTTTTTACCACAGTTTGCTCAGAGGCTAAGGATCTGATTTCCACAGTGAAATAATCACCACCGGCTGACCAAAATTAACATCAGTGTCTTCTCAGTAACAGAAGAGAACATAGTAGTAGTATAAGTCTGCCAATTTTGTACAAATAAAATTATTGAATCTGTAATGTGGATGCATAACCTATCCTTTTTAAGACAGTATTTTAAAGCTGTTTTCTCCATTGCTGTACATCTTGACTTATGCAGTGTTCCCCTGCATTATAGAGGCTACCAAGAGGGGAACCTGGTTGTCTCCCTCCAAGGCTGACATTTCTTTGTGGTCATACTGAATTTAGGTCTGAGGAAGAGCAGGGATCTGAATAGTCATGGATCCTCCTGAAAAGCAACAACCAAGTGCTCCTAAATGCAAATTCCCTGCTCAGCCATCATCACTGTTGACACTCAGTATCATCAGTTGGAGGCTGTGGGTGTAATACTGGTGTTACTTGAACTGGTTTCAGTGGTGCAACAGCAGTGATTTGTCTCCCTAAGGCTGGTCTTGACAGTAGCTGCTGAGACACCAGAGTCAGGCCAAGAAAAACATAATTATGCATTATTCTGACAACCAGTCTGTCAGCAAATTATTGCCTAACCTACAACTACACATGGCCCATTCCCAGAAAATGAGTAAGAATCAAAGCAGATCATAACCAAATATATTCCAGTGCAAGAAAAGCCAATTTACTGACCCTTCAACCACCTGCAGAACACACGTGTAACTTTACTTATGCTAGAACAGAC